AACCTCGCTCTTTTAAAATCTATTTTCTTATTTACACTTTATATAGGATTTTTCTTAGCAATTTATTTGATGTACCTTGATTTAATAAAATTCTAGCTTTAATTAATTTATAAATCTTATTTACCATTTTAAATTTTTGATGTTTCTTTATTGTAATCGATGTGTATGTCTTAATAAATATTCTTGCCTATTTTCAATCTTTACAGTTTGTTAATATTTTAATTCTCAAAATATACAATAATAATATAAATATTCTATTTTCCTTATTTTCAATACAAAAAAATAATTAAGCATATTTCTAGTAATTTCTTTAGAAATATTAAAACTTGTATCTAATGAAAAATTTTACACCTGCTATTCCTAAAATAGCTGAACCTCAACAATTCGAGCATAATGGATTATCATTTGATGATTCCATTAATATTCCAGATATTATCATGGCTACATCCACGAAGAACGGCTTATCTACTCTTCCCACGAATTCCAAAGCCTTAAAGAAACCTTCAAAAAGGAAGATTAAGCTCTCTTTGGATAGCGTCGACATTATGGTGCAGAGGACAAATGATGATAGTATTACGAGTAAACGCTCGGCGGTAGCCTTTGGTTATTTTGAGGATCCTTTTCTTCGCTATTTTGTCCGAAAACCCTCCCGTCGCTCCCCTTTAGTCAATCGCGGCTATTATCTACGGATGATGGCTATTTCAGATATTATGTTGAATTCCATGAATTATTTCATGGAAAACTGTACCGGTTCGATAGATACACCTTTGTATGTTATTTCCCTTGGCGCGGGGTATGATACGCTCGCATTAAGGGTTCTTTTATCCAATTATGACATCCAAACTGGGGAGGGAGGCCGTAGAGAAAAGTTAAAAGAAAGCGATACATTCAGCAGTCGCTGGAAGAAATTTTCGTGGAAGGAGTGCGTTTATTTCTGCGATATTGACTTTCCAGAGGTGATGCAAGCGAAGGCGGCGCTCATGCAAGCGGCGCCATCTGGATCTTTCCCCTCCGATTGGGTTTTTAACTCCTCCGATTCTACTCATCCTATCGTTTCGAAACAGTATCATGCATTAGGGCTTGATTTACGGACATCTTCGCAAACACTTTCTGAGCTTCTTAAAAAGTTTCTTCCCGGCTTTTCGGTTGATTCTCCAGTTCTTTTCTACTCCGAGTGTATGATGCAGTATATGCCAGCTGAGGACTCCACCGAGCTTATTCGAACCATCACCAGGCAATTTTCAAACGCGATTTATATCTCCTATGACCAAATCGCCCCCGAAGATAGCTTTGGCAAGGTGATGGTTCGCGCCCTCAAGCAAAAGGCGAGTCCACTTTTGGGTATCACCTCCTCCCCAGACGGCCCTGCGTTGGTTTCCCGATTTATCTCCCAGGGCATGGCGTACGCAGTTTTCGCCAATTTCTACGACCTTTCCGACTTTTACCTCAACCAGGACGAACGGGCGCGGGTGGACGCCTTGGAGACTTTTGATGAGTGGGAGGAGTGGAGTGAAATGTGCTCGCACTACGGCATTACTCTCGCGGGGACCTCGCGGAGCTCTTGGCCCGTTGTGAATTATCTCGGGCCCTTTTTTCATTCGTGCCCCTCCTCATCCTTCGTGAAGGACGCGATCGCGAGGGTGGAATCTACGGTTTCCGTGCGGGATGTGGGATGGCCGACGGGTCGATTTCCCTACGAAGGCTGGGGAAATGGCGAGGTTTTTGTCGAAGGGCATCCTTACACGGGGGAATTCGTTTTTATCGGCTTCGGCGGCTTTTTAACCCCCTCGAGCGGGAGCCATCGACGGGAAAGTGCCGTTTTCGCGCACGCCCTGCACGACGGCTCGATGCGGGTGAATTGCGCGTCCTCGCCGGAGAGCCCCCCGGGGCTTATTTTCCACAGCCTTTCCCGGCTTTCACCCTTTGTTTATTTTCTTTTTGGTGGTCGCGAGGGCCCGCAAACGCCGAATCCCACCACGTATCTACTCCGCGCGAGGATTTCGCCCGCTTCGGAAGTTGTCGTGGGGTGGGATGCCCTCGAGGTGGGGGAGAATCCAAACGGGGCGCGGGTGATGCCGTCCCCGCGGTATCGCCATAC